TTTCAATTTTCCATATGGAATCCGAGTGGTGGATTGAGAAAGATTGCTTGAGGACATAAATTTGAGTGATGCTTATTTTAGAACTTCATAGTAGTTTTATAGTTCAGTGATAGTGGTGTTATAGCATGTGGATGTCCATATTAGTGGATGCAAAGTGCTATTTCGAAGGAGCTTTATGAAGATTTTAGAGTAGCAGCTCTACTTCATAAATATAGACGGGGGAATTAATCGAGAGATTAAATTAGACCATAAAGGATATGTTTGAGGCGTATATCCTAGATTTTCATGGACTGTTGGAAGAATTTACTTCACTTGTCGGAATTTTATCTGTGATATTGTTGGCACAAGGAGGTTAGTGTGACAACTTTGGAGGTTTTGTATCTTTCACAATGCATACCTCTCATTTGTTGGTTGGAAATGGAAGTAAGGGTTGTACAATTAGACCTTGACTTCATTTAAAAATATGTCGGAAATAGATACTTCCCTTTATATTGAACTGCGCGCGGTTGGGAAGCAACAGTAGGATGTTGTAAATAGTTGAACTCGTATACTAGAGTTTTTCTATCAGGGAGTAGTTTGCTCGTTCTGTTTTCTATGTAGGAAGAAAGACGATTTTTGGAGAAATGTCAATTTTACTTATTACATTGACTTTTACACGATTGTGTTTCGCAATTGAGGCAGTCACCTCTGAATTAGCGTTACCAAATTATTAGTGCTGGGTGCATAGGAGTTTGTGCGTATATTCTATGGCACTTGGAGGTATGTAGATCATTCCCTTGTCGACATAGGAGGATTACGTTGTTATTTGATACGACCTACACATTGTATGATTATTGTGTTTCTTAAAATATAGGAACTCTGTATACCACTTAGTATATTAGAGTTAAGTGGAGCCCTTATAGTGAGGTTGTGTCTATTTGGGAATATGATGATGTTTTTCGCTCACAGTTTCCAAGCATAATAGAAGAAAGTAAGGGCGAATTCCGAGGACGGAATTCCTTTTATTAGGGGGGAAGAATGTAATACCCCTAATTTTAAAAGGATAGTCTCGGTATTTATTTATTTATTTTTATTATATTTTTTTTATTTGTTTAATTGATTATTTGACTAATTGTTTATGTGTTTAATTGAATTAAGTGTTACTTGATTAATTGGCTACTTATCTATGTGTTATTTGTATTTTGTCTAGGTGTTATTTGTATTATTTGTTTAATTAGATTGTGTGCTTAAATGATGTATTTGATTAATGTTAATTAATTGTAAATTAAATGTTTTCATTTCTTTTATTATTTTATTTTATTTTTCTTTTATGGTTATGGTTAGTGGTAATTGGCCAACCAATTGGATCCCATGGACTGCTTGGATAGGAGGTTGGATGGGTATGGATAATTATCCATGGATAGTTGTATATGTATATATATAGATATATATGTATATACATATATATAAAAAGGAAAGTAATTTATTAATATTATAGTAACTTTAGTATTAATAAATAATCTGATGTATATATTTTATATATTTATATAATAAGGATATACATATATTTTATACGTAACATGTTTTAAGTTACCTTTTTAATATTATGGTAACTTTAGTATAAATAAATAATCTGATGTATATATTTTATTTATTTAATGAGAATACAGATAGATTATATACTTAACATGTTTTAAGTTACCTTTTAATATTATGGTAACTTTAGTATTACTAAATAATCTAATGTATATATTTTATTTAATTAATAAGGATATACATAGATTATATACGTAACATATTTTAAGTTACCTTTTTAATATTTTCATTTTTATTTTTTTTTTATTAAGTTGACTTGGATTGGGAAAAGGAATAGGGTTATTATTTAGCCTATAAATACACAACTATAGGTTGAAAAAGGAGTGAAAATATATCACGTAATATATTCTAGAGAGAGAGTTAGAGAGAGAAGGAGAAAGAGGGAGGAAGGAGGAGAAAACCCTTTAGAGAGAAGATCAAGGAAGAAGAAGTTTAACTTTTAATCCGAAAGTTTAAGGCAAGTTCTTCTTCTATCTCTTTCCCTTTGATTCGTGTTTCTGTACATGCCTAGGAAATTCCAGGATTTACTAAACACATAAAATTAAATAATTATGCATGTTTAATTGGATTAAAGTATAGGTTTTTGTGAAATTGGGTCATATCTGTTCTTGTGTTATAAATTAAAAAAATGCATGATTTTGATTTGATTTCTGGTGTGAATTTTTATATGTTTGAATTATGTATTTTTCATATATGTGGAATGATGGAACGTAGAAACATGCCTAGGATTCCTGAACATTAAATAGGGACTAGGTTTGGGTTTAAATAAATTTAAATACACTCAATCATAACGATGCTTGCTATTTAAATGTTTACACAAACGAATGGATTTAATCTTTTAAAATGCTTTAGCAATTGAGAATAAATGTGTAGGATGAATTGGATATGGAGAATGCTTATTTGACGATATAATAAAATATCATCATGTATAAGATTCAGTTTGTGTAGGACATATGATATATGAGCTTAAATAAATAATAAGTCATTCATATTCTGTGATAACTTGATATCATGTTATCATAGTTATTTCTGGAATGTTTGATGTATTTCTTTAATTATTACATCAATTGTTGGATTGTGTGGTTTAATGCACCGGTATGGGACGGTGGCATTCTAGGGACGGATTAACTTATCAGTTAAGTCCTACCTATTTTATATAAGGGAATGGATTAACTAAAATGTTAAGTCCTACTTATATTCAAGTCAGGTCAGCTGAACAAGTTGAATGACTTATAGAGGATTAATTTATTATATAAGGGAATTGATTAACTAAAATATTAAGTCCTACTTATATTCAAGTCAGGTCAGCTGAACAAGTTGAATGACTTATGGAGGATTAATTTATACTGGATAGGATGGTCACTAGATTTTATATATATAAGTATGGTGCCATGATATGAGCTTGAGTCTCAGGATCAGTGGTTAGGGTGCGTATATCGCCAGGGATGTGTAGCTAGATATAGTGTAGTTGTGTACCCTGGTAGGTCTAGGTACTCATGCCCACTATATGTGCGTTTTGCATGTTGCCTACTATTCAGGTTGAGACAACCCTATAGTCTAGTGAGGTTCCTTTAGTGTGTATATATATATATACGGACTACTAGTTACTGTTGGATTGACTAGGATGTATACGTGTACCGGATCTCTGCTTGGACTGTAGTAGAGTAGAACTTGTTTGTGGGCCTGACCCACCATTGTTTTTCAGGTGTTCGTCACGAGTAGAGGTTGTTCGTGCTGAGCGGGGATCAATCTACTTCATTCTTCCGATGCTACATAGGAGTTCCTTTATGATTCAGTTTCTTGTTTTAGAATATTGTCATTTGTTTAGTTTGGATTTTCTAGGGGTCCATACAGTATGGATTCTCGAGTTGTATTTTGGAGGATCAGTTTTATCAGAAGAGTTTATTAATTAATGGAAATATATTATGAGGTTTATTATTAGATTATCATTTTAGTTTCTTGTCAGCATTTTATTTATTCTTCTTTATTCTTTTGTACTCTGTGTTCGTTTATTATCAATTTGTTTTGATATCCTCGGGTATTCGGGCGTGGGCCTGGCCAACCCACATTCGGAAATTCGGGGGTATCACAAGTATTAATTGGGTTATACATAATCAAGCATCAAAATAATCTGTAAAGATACTTAAGAAATTCATATAAGTTTCATGCATCAAAATTGAGAACCATGTCTCTGATACCACTTGTTAGACATAATAAATACTTTAACAATAATTAGCCCATTAGGATCCAACTTTAATGCACAAAAACACCATGAGTTATAAAATTTAGAAGTGGTACATATCTTACTTTGATCCATTATGAGTAAGAGATTTTGAACTTTAGTTATTGATGTTGACTAAACTTTAAACTGAGCAAAAAGTTAGGTTCCGTCTATTCTGAATAACCAATGTAAAATTATAAGATCTTCAAACCACTTCTCTCTCTATAGTTAATGGGTACTAATTGTGGTGTTTCATTTCACAAACCACGTCATAAGAGAGTATGGTTTGGGACCTTTATATATAACATTAGTTTTAGTCTTCCCATCAAAGACTTTAAAGTTTACATAAGAAAATCAAGAGTTACAAGAGACTTCATTAACTCTTTATTAACTTTAACTCTTCATTACTTATTCATTAAGTGAGAACAATAACTTCAAGAGTTACTAAATTATCACTTAACTCTTCATTAAGTGACTACTAACTCCAATTCCATTAGTGAAGTATTAATCACTTAGTTTATCAAAGAGGATATATGTAACTCAAATCACGTTAGAAGTGTATCTATCTTTACACTTTTGGTTTTTCATATAGGTGCACTTAATATTGGATCACCTTCCAATTAATATCTTAAAACCCTCTTCATGGAAGTATCTAATATATCATATGTATAATAATGTAAAGGCCACATTAAATAGATAAATTTCTAACAATTTCAACTTCTAGCAAATTTTTAATGAGATCATTCGGAATATCTGGCTAGACGAATGGTTAAGCGAGGGAATGCAGCTGATACCAAGAAAAATTGTGAACATAACAATATTCACCACCAACGTGCTGGCGAGAAGTAACGGAGGAAGCGGTAGAGGAAAGACCCATGTGTTTATGCAGGTGTATAATGTGTACGAAGTAGGTTGAGAGATTGCTTCAATCGTATGTGTGTGTTGGTTGTGTGTTTGGGAAATAGGGGTTCTATTTGTGCTTAATTACCCAATATGATGCCATTTGGAGTTGTTTTGTTTTGTTTTGTTTTTTTTTTTTTTTTTTTTTTTTTTTTTTTTTTGGGTAATTTCAACTTCTAGCAAATTTTTAATGAGATTATTCGGAATTTCTGGCTAGACGAATGGTTAAGCGAAGGAATGCAGTTGATATCGAGAAAAGTTATGAACATAACAATATTCACCGTCAACGTGTTGGCAAGAAGCAACGGAGGAAGCGGTAGAGGAAAGACCCATGTGATTGTGCAGGTGTATAATGTGTACGAAGAAGGTTGAGAGATTACTTCAATGGTATGTGTGTTGGTTGTGTTTGGGAAGTAGGGGTTCTATTTGTGCTTAATTATCTAATATGATGCGGTATGGAGTTGTTTTGTTTTGTTTTTTCTTTTTTTTTTTTTGTTTTTGGGTAATTTCAACTTCTAGCAAATTTTTAATATAAATATTTGGTGGCATTTTAGTATATTTTATCCATCATTTAACAAGAATTTTTACTTGGACAATTTTAAAATTACGAGTTTTTGAAATTAGAGATTTTTTTTTTTTTTTTTTTTTTTTTTTTTTCACCCATTATTCTACCCACCGACACAGCTGTTTTCATTTCACTTTCATCCCAAAAAACCTGAAAACCAGTCCAAACCTAAAACCCAAAACCCTATAAATGTCTTCTTCGCTCGCTATTCGCCACGTCCGCCACCTCTCAACAACTGCGGCCGCTGCCACTGACGCAGCCACTGCAACTGACGCCGCCGCAATCTCCATCTCCAAGGCCATAGCAAAACTCAAAACCGAATTCGACCCAGACAAAGCCCTCGAGATCTATTCCTCTGTCTCCCGCCACTACACCTCTCCTCTCTCCACTCGCTTCATTCAGGAATTCACCGTTAAGCGCCTTGCAAAGTCTCACCGATTCTCCGACATCGAAACCCTAATCGAGTCCCACAAAAATGACCCCAAAATCACCCAAGAACCCTACCTCTCCACCCTCATTCGATCGTACGGCATTGCCGGCATGTTCGATCACTCCCTCAAAACATACAACCAAATGGAGGAACTGGGCACACCCAGAACTACGACCTCATTCAATGCTCTTCTTGCGGCGTGTAACCAATCGAAGCTATTCGATCAAGTACCCCAACTGTTCGAGGAAATGCCTCAAAAGTTCGGATTTTCACCTGATAAAGTCTCTTATGGTATATTGGTCAAGTCTTACTGCCATTCGGGTTCGACTGATTTGGCAATTTCGAGAATGAAAGAAATGGAAGAGAAAGGAATCGAAATTACAGCAATCACGTTCACAACAATATTGCATTCTCTGTATAAGGAGGGGAAGAGTGATGAGGCTGAGAGAATTTGGAATGAGATGATGGAAAGAGGGTGTTCGCCTGATATCGCGGCATACAATGTTCGGATAATGCATGTCCACGGTGGAGAGCCGGAGACTGTGAAGGGTTTGATTGAGGATATAAGCAATGCAGGGTTAAAACCAGACACCATTACTTACAATTATTTGATGACTTGTTATTATAAGCACGGGAAGTTGGAAGAAGCTGAGAAGGTTTACCAAGGAATGAAGGGAAATGGGTGTCATCGGAATGTTTCGACCTTTAGGATTTTGATATATTATTTGTGCAAGAATGGGAATCATGAGAAGGGGTATGAGGTGTTTAAGGACAGTGTGAAGTTTCATAAGGTTCCCGATTTCAATACGTTGAAGCCTTTAGTGCAAGGGTTGGTGAAGAAATCTAAAAGGAAGGAGGCCGAAGATTTGATTCGGACTATGAAGAAGAAGTTCCCTTCTAACCGTTTGAATGCTTGGAAGAGACTCGTGGAGGATCTCGGTTTGGCTGCTGCTGATTCTTCTGGTGAAAACCAAGAGGAAGGAGGCAAAAGGGTTGGTGAAGAAACCGCAAAGGAAGAAGGCCGAAGGGTTGATTCAGAGTACGAAGGGGTTCCCTTCTAACCTTGTGGTTGCTTGGAAGAGACAGTAGGAGGATCTTGGTTTGGCAGCTGCTGATTCTTCTGGTGAAAACCAGTCCTTCTGCAACTAGAGTGATTCACTTTGCCTGAATTTTGTGTTTGAGGGATGATGTGATACCGTGAAATTCATTCCAGAGCTTCCATTGGAGGGTACTTAATGCTTTGAAAGAGGGACAAGACAACTTCTTTGATTTGTTTTCATGTTAGTGTTAGTATTTTACTTTGTTGCATGTAAATTTTGGATTCCCTTTGTGCTTCTTTATCCTTCTTTCTTAGCTATCCTTTGAGTCAAGATTTGTCATGCCAATGCTATTGCTGATATGAATGTTAACAATATCATCCTATACATATAATCTGGCTCAAAAAGACGCCACTGCCTACGTGGGCAATCTCGATCCTCAGGTTTTTCTTCCTTCTTCCTATTCCCTCTTTAACTTCTTTCACAAATCAGAGCTTTTCTCTCAAATGTAATTCTAGGGTTTATGTGCTTGTCTCTGATTCTCAAACTGATGGATTGAGTGGCTTTAGTCGTTGCCAACTTCATGTTTCGTATTTTATGGTTTTCATTACTCATGTAAAATGCTTCAAATTATTGAACTTTGGGGATGTTATTATTCATTAAGATTTACTTTCAAAAGTTTGCGTAGGTTGATTTTTGCTTGAACTTTCCAACGGCTTCAATATAGCTCTGATTTGGGCATTTTTACTTTTCTGTAGAAATAAAAATATCAAATTTGTCACTTCGCGTGTTGGCTTCAATTGGGTAGGGCTGTCACTTGTATTGGATATTTGAAATGTTCTTCAAAGTACGATGAGGATCTCTTTTGTACTTTTACCTTTCTAACTTTGATACTTGATTCATGACTCAATATACTTTTGTAAAAAAATATTTCTAGGCCGAGAATGAACCAACTTGTATGTATGGATTCCGATTTGTACGTTTGTAAGCTCAGTTTAGACTTAATTCAAGATCATGACGAGGTCAAAAAGTTAAATTTGAGTTGACTAATTATTTTTAAAAATAACAACTCAACTTGCCTCAACTCATTGGACAAAAAAAGCCAACCTCAATTTTATTATCTTGTTCGAATCTAGTTTGAATTCATGTTCAATAACCTTAACTCATATAAGTAAAAATCTGTATTCATGAATGCATATCACTTTACTAAATTTAGTGTTTATAAGTTGAGTTTAACCATGTTAAAAAAAAAAAAAAAAAAAAATTCCAATTTGTTTACTATAAGAACTTAAGTAAAATTAAATTATGTGCGGGCACATAATTTGTTTACTAATTGTGTGGGACTGGTCAAATTAAATTCACTAAAATAACTCACAGATTGAAAGGGAGGCGACGATCCTTCCACATCCACAGTCCCACACAAGCACTGCCGGTGCCTGCAAACACGTCGCCACACAGCCGCCGCCGCCGCCATAAATAACAAAAATACCCCTATATGATATTATGACAAAACTCATACATCCAAATCAATCTCCCTTTCTCACCCTCCTCTCTCTATATCTATTCAGACAAAAAATGAAGATAAATGGATCAATTAGTACGTGTCATAGACAAAACTCATACATCCAAATAATCTCTGTTTCTCACCCTCCTCTCTCTATATCTATTTAGACAAAAAATGAAGATAAATGGATCAATTAGTACGTGTCAAAGTCTAAAAACAAAACATTTAGATTTAACATATTTTGAGTGGGTCTCAATGTAATTTGTCTGAGTCAAATCAAAATTGACGGATAAGTTGATTAATGTAAACTAGTGCATTTAAACCATAATACATTTTCTACAGGTGAAGTGCAAAAAAAACTCATCTGTTTTTTTAAATGTGCAAATAACACTCATGATGTTTAAAAACTATCCCTGTAATTTCAAAATTAAAAATTGTGCAAATAACTCCCACAATTGATATTTGCAAGTCATGTGACAAAAAAGGGGTCTTTTATACCAACAATGCCTTTTTGGAGTACCCAAACTACCATTTACTCATTTTCTCCCCCATTTCTATATATATAATATATATATAATAATTTTATTTAATTAATTTTCTTTCTATAAATACTCTCCATATAATACACATATTTTCTATGTATAATACTCATTATATTCATATTTCTCTCTCCTATTTCTATTATATCCCCTATTTCTATATATAATATTCATATTTCTATTTTTTATTTATTTTTCTCTATCTTCTTTGTATTTGTATATTTTATTTATTTTCTTCACTCTCGACGAATGGTTAAGCGAGAGAATGTAGCTGATACCAAGATTTTGGTTCAATGGAAAGGCACACCATCAGAAGATGCTACATGGGAGCCGTACTACAAATTCATTCAGTGATATCCTGATTTTCCCCTTGCGGACAAGGCGAAACAGAGGAGGGAGGAATGATATGGGTTATTAATTTGTTAATTACATAAGTATTTTGGTTGATCGTTTGTATATATGTTAGTTGTCAGTTGTGGTGTTGGAATTAGTAGGTCAGTTGTAGTTATGGTGAGTAAAAGTAGGAGGTAGTGGGAGAGTGGGCATGAATAACCTGCTTTGTAAATATATATATATATATATATATATATATATCTATCAGTTTACTACTTTAATAAGATTATTCAGAATTCTACAAACCTAGTTTCAGGAGGAGATTCTATGATACCCCCGGATCTCCGGATGCGGGTTGGCCAGGCCCACACCCGATTACCCGAGGATATCAAACCAATTAACAATAATCGAACACAGAATACAATTAAAACCAAAAGAGATAAATAAAATTTGTTGAAATGAAAACTAAAATGACAATCCAATAATTGAAACCTCTGAAAAAATATTTCCATTGATAAATAAAACTATTCTGTTACAACTGATCCTCCACGAATACAAATCGTTCTCCAAATTATACAACTCGGGAATCCATTAATGGACCCCTAAAATATCCCACTGAACTCAAATGACTGGAAATAAAACCAAAGCCTAAAACATGAAACAAAATCCTACGGCATTGGTGAAGTGAATGACTGTATCTGCTCAGCACGATCCAGCTCTAAGACTGGAACTAACGAACACCTGTAAAAATAAGATTGGGTCAGGCCCACATACAAATTCTTCTCTAACTGCAATCCAAACAGTAACCCGATACGCAGATACACCCTAAATATCTCAACAATAGCTATCTAGTCCATACATATATATATATATATCCACACTAAGGGACATTCACTGGACTACCATAGGGGTCTCCACCTGAATAGAAGGTAACATGCGAAAACGCACACAAAGGTGGGCATGAGTACCTAGACCTAACAGGGTACACCTCAACATACTATTGCCAGCTACGCATCCACTGCATATACGCACCCTAACCAACTAGTCCGAGACTCAAGCTAATCTCGTGGTACCATAAAAATATATTTAAAATCCATTCATATCCATCCATAGGAAATCCATTAAATTGTTCAGCTTATTCAACCGCACAGACTTATATAAGAGATCCAATAAGTCGTTCACCTTATTTAACCGCACAGACTTAAATATAAGGAGAATTATGTTTTTATAATTCGTACCCTTATTCCAAAATAGGTAGGACTGAGTATTTTGAATCAGTCTGTCCCTAGTATGTCACCGTCCCATATCGGTGCGTACAATCCACAAAATCCATATAATTGATAGAACAGGTAAAGTTGTTCACCAATTAAAATCCATAAGGTAGGAATTAGTGTTTTGAGCTAAACCATACATAGTATGTCACCGTCCCATACCGGTGCATACAATCCTCCATATCCATATAAATTACAACATATAAATAATAAGCAAGTAATTTATAGTCCAAAACCAAATATCTATATTATTGCAGAAAAGTGATTAAAGTTTCAGTAATTTAAATCTAAGATCTAAACCATGTAATTGCAAGAAATGGTTTAATAGTTCAACAACCAGCATCCAGAGCATGCATAGATCAGTTTTAATAAATTAACAACTCTATCATGTATTTAAATAAGTTTTATAATCATGTTATAGTCCAAACAATTGCTAAATTAATTTAAGCAATTTAGTTCTTTCCATCCGGTAACAACGTACTAAGTTCTATACTCATATTCTGTTTTATCCTTTAACACGGAGCCATACACTATGCCCCAAGTCCAATTTGTTAATTAAAAGACTTCACCATGTGTTTAAAACTTAATTTGGAATCATGATATAGCACCTTAAATTGTCAAATTAAAACTAAACAATAAATCTCCTTCCAGCCGTTAACCGTACGCACAGTTGTTAAAATAACGCACTGTTAATTCCATTCACTTAGAGGTCAACCTTACTCAGTATAAACCTTTAACAACATCCAAAACCAATCTTCTAATCCTTCTGTGAAACCCCATAATCAACAGAAGTAATCCCATGCTCCAAAGTACCAATAGTTCGTAAAAAAAAAAATTCAAAACAAGTGTACTATTGAAGAGAGCCTACTCTAACATTTAAAGAGCAGGCTCTTTTGAGTCTGGAGCCGACTCTAAGAGTCTTAGAGCCGGGTCTTCAAGTGTGGGAGCCGGCTCCCACATCTATGGAGCCAGCTCTCACCTCTTTTGAGAGCCTTCGTCCCCGTTCTGCTCCGTTTCAGCTTCTCTGCTCCTTCACTGGCTTATTCCTATCACTCTGTTGGTTCTTAAAATTGATCTTAGGAGTCTAATTTACAACCAGTAGCATCCCATCAGATTGTTAAAACAGTAGGAATTTAATACGACAACAAAACAACTATTGACTTAACATGTTTTTATGCTCAAAAACTGAATACAATCTTGCAGCTACAGTTCCATTCCAAACCCCTTTGCTCCTCATCAATACTGAACCTAAGGTCTTGTATCATCCTATTAACATTCCCATGGTTCGTTTATAGAAGATGAAAGCAAGTACAGTAACAAAAATCACAAAAGAAATTAACATGCTTTAAGGAACAAAACTGGAAGCAGACATGCACAAATTGTAAGCAGATTTGATTTTAATACAAACAGATCATCAATATAGCATATACTAAACACGTAAGTTTTAGTTACTGATTTATTAAATTCTAGAGACTACCTAGGTGCACAGAACACGAGCCAAAGAGAAGGAGAAAGAAAAGAACTTACCTCTGTGGTTTTTGAATAAAAACCCTGTCGCCTTCTTCCTAGGTTTTCTGATGACGTCCGTTCTCTGTCAACTCTACCTCCTACTGCTCAACCTTCCTCCTCCTAGGGCCGACCTTCAAGCCACGGCCAAAACCCTCTCTGAAGTTGCTCTATTTTTTCCTCACAACCTCTCTCTGTTTTCACTCTAAAACTCTCTATATTTTCACTATTTGTGAATAGGGTTTATGCTTACAACCCTAAGCAGACTTATAACAGTGTATATATAGGCATATAAAAACCTACGTCTACTTATATTTAGAGATGGAAACCCAACTAAACCCTAGTGGGCCAAATACACGATCCATAAACCTGAGATCCTAATTTAACATTAAAATTAAATACCTTAATAATTTAACCTAATGAACTCATTCAATAATCAAAACTAATTTAATTAAATAAAAACAAAAATCCAATTAATACAAATAAGCAGACTAAACAAAAATAATCAGGTAATACAATCCACATAAGGAAAAATAATTAATCAATTAAACATAAACGCATATCCACATAATCACATAAAATACTTAAAATAAATAATAAAATCCCAATTATATCATTTTTAATTTTAGGGGTATTACAGATTCCCCTCGAAGTGGATCAACTGTCTCTTTTCTCTCTAAATTTCCAATACAGTTTGCTAGAAAAATTGTGAACATAACAATATTCATCGCCAACGTGCTGGCGAGAAGCAACGGAGGAAGCGGTAGAGGAAAGACCCTTGTTTTTTGCTGGAGTATAATGTGTAGGAAGTAGGTTGAGATTACATCGATCGTATATGTGTGTTGGTTATGTGTTTGGGAAGTAGGGGTTCTATTTGTGCTTAATTACCCAATATGATGCCATTTGGAGTTGTTTTGTTTTTTGTTTTTTTTTGTTTTTTGGATAATTTCTGCTGGACATAATAAATACTTTAATAATAATTAGCCCATTATGATTCAACTTTGATGCATAAAAATACCATGAGTTATAAAATTTAGAAGTGGTACATATCTTACCTTGATCCATTATGAGTAAGAGATTTTGAACTTTAGTTATTGATGTTGACTAAATTTCAAACTGAGCCAAAAGTTAGGTTCTGTCTATTCTGAATAACCAATGTAAAATTATAAGATCTTCAAACCACTTCTCTCTCTATAGTTAATGGGTACTAATTGTGGTGTTTCATTTCACAAAACACGTCATAAGAGAGTATGGTTTGGGACCTTTATATATAACATTAGTCTTAGTCTTCCCATCAAAGACTTTAAAATTTACATAAAAAAAACCCAAGAGTTACAAGGGATTTCATTAACTGTTCATTAATTGTTCATTAAGTGAGAACAATAATTTCAAGAGTTACTAAAGTATCACTAAACTCTTCATTAAGTGACCACTAACTCCAATTCCATTAGTGAAGTATTAATCACTTAGTTTATCAAAGAGTATATATGTAACTCAAATAATGTTAGAAGTATTTCCATCTTTACACTTTTGGTTTTTATATAGGTGCACTTAATATTGGATCACCTTCCAATTAATATCTGAAAACCCTCTTCATGGAAGTATCTAATATATCATATGTATAATAATGTAAATGCCAGATTAAAGAGATAAATTTCTAATAATCTCCCACTTGGCCTACATAATTATACCATTTATTAGATTATTCACATAATATGGCCATTACACCTTTCCAAAGAAGAGGTTGCACCATCTTCATTAGATTTTGTTCAATGAAACTACTAATGCCAAAGTATTGTAGTTATTGAATCACTCATCGATTCAATACCATTCAATAGTTATAGCATTAATACCTTCATCAACATGAATCGGTGAGATTTAAGTAATACTGATGATATTAGCAAGGTAATGGTGATTAGTGCCAATTCATCATTAACGGTCCACTATTGCTTTTATATTTAAACGTGCATGAAAGTTGAAAGCAACACAACATAATCATGATATTGTCATAAATATAATGTGATCACACTAAAAACGTCAATACACTTTTAACCCAAACAAAAAAGACTTTTCACATAGCCCATGTACGCAACATGATCCTTAAAGAGCTTAGGTGAGAGACCTTTTGTCAATGGGTCTGCTAACATGAGTGTAGTACTGATATATTTAATTAAGACAATTTGATTCAAAACCCTTTATTTCACAGCAAGATACTTGATATCAATATGTTTCGATCCTCCAGTAGTTTTGTTATTCTTAGAGAATCGAATAACAGCAACATTATCACAGTAAATTTTTAAGGGTTTTGTAATCGAATCAACAATACTATAATACAGATCTTACTCCCACTGATCTTAAGGAATATACATGAATCCACTAGATTCTCCTTAAAACCAAAGTTAGTTAAAACTTCATGAAACTTAAGATACCATTGTCGAGAAGCCTGTTTTAGACCATAGATGGACTTTTTAAGCCTACACACCTTGTGGGTCTTGCCTTTATCCTGAAAACCTTCAGGTCGGTCCTTATAGGCCACTTCATGAAAGTCACCATTGAAGAAGGTTGTTTTGACATCCATCTGATGTAGCTCTAGATCATAATGAGCTACTAATGCCATGACTATTTGAAGGGAGTCGTTATTGGAAATAGGAGAAAATGTTTCCTTATAATCAATCCCTTCTTTTTGAGTGTATCCTTTAGCAACTAATCTGGCCTTGTATCTTTCAATATTGCCTTTGGAAACACGTTTGGTTCTGAAAATCCATTTGCAACCAACAATTTTGGATCCTTCAGGTAATTCTACAAGATCCCAGACTTCATTATCCTTCATGGATTTCAACTCTTCATTTATGGCATTAAGCCATAGAGTTGATTTATCGTTACTTATGGCGTGAGCATAAGAAATGTGATCATTTTCCAAGCCAATATCATAAATATCACACTCATTTAAATAAATTTCATAGTCATTCGATATAATAGGCATTCTTTCTCTTTGGGATCTGCGTGAAGGTACTTCTGTAATTGGAGTAGATTCCTTAATGTGGGAAGTTTATTTAACACCACAATTTTTCATAAATCTAACTAAAATCATAAGTAGTTAGATATAAAATCAATAGATTTACCATATCATCATAAGAAACCAATAATGCAATTGTAATTCTTTCGTTGGGCAGAACTACAATATATTATTAGTATATTTAAAAAAAAAAAATCAAATGTAATATATTAAAATCATTATTACATATGTCACCATAACTGAGGTTGACAAAGATGTAATGCATATCATATTCTTAATAGAATTATATCACCTTTGGGCAGAAAAACTTGAATATGCTTTACATTATTCATAACATTCATTTAACCATAGTGATCCACCGTTGGGTTGATCATAACTATATATGGTTTAATTATTTCACAATGTCCAACTATTCATAGTATTGAACCTCCGTTGGGCTTATCAATACTACTTCAAAATTGAACACTTCATAATGTGAACCAAAAAATAATTTCATAATATATGATCATCAATATTGAGTATTAATTGGGTTATACATAATCAAGCATCAAAAGAATCTGTAAAGATACTTAAGAAATTCATATAAGTTTCATGCATCAAAATTGAGAACCATGTCTCTGATACGACTTGTTAGACATAATAAATACTTTAACAATAATTAGCCCATTAGGATCCAACTTTGATGCACAAAAACACCATGAGTTATAAATTTTAGAAGTGGTACATATCTTACTTTGATCCATTATGAGTAAGAAATTTTGAACCTTAGTTATTGATGTTGACTAAACTTCAAACTGAGCCAAAAGTTAGGTTCCGTCTATTCTGAATAACCAATGTAAAATTATAAGATCTTCAAACCACTTCTCTCTCTATAGTTAATGGGTACTAATTGTGGTGTTTCATTTCACAAACCACGTCATAAGAGAGTATGGTTTGGGACCTTTATATATAACATTAGTCTTAGTCTTCCCATCAAAGGCTTTAAAGTTTACATAAGAAAATCAAGAGTTACAAGAGACTTCATTAACTCTTTATTAACTTTAACTCTTCATTAATTATTCATTAAGTGAGAACAATAACTTCAAGAGTTACTAAAGTATCACTTAACTCTTCATTAAGTGACCACTAACTCCAATTCCATTAGTGAAGTATTAATCACTTAGTTTATCAAGAGGATATATGTAACTCAAATCACGTTAGAAGTGTATCTATCTTTACACTTTTGGTTTTTCATATAGGTGCACTTAATATTGGATCACCTTCCAATTAATATCTTAAAACCATCTTCATGGAAGTATCTAATATATCATATGTATAATAATGTAAAGGCCACATTAAATAGAAAAATTTCTAACAATTTCCACTTCTAGCAAATTTTTAATGAGATCATTCGGAATATCTGGCTAGACAAATGGTTAAGCGAGGGAGTGCAGCTGATACCAAGAAAAATTGTGAACATAACAATATTCACCACCAACGTGCTGGCGAGAAGTAACGGAGGAAGTGGTAGAGGAAAGACCCATGTGTTTATGCAGGTGTATAATGTGTACGAAGTAGGTTGAGAGATTGCTTCAATCGTATGTGTGTGTTGGTTGTGTGTTTGGGAAATAGGGGTTCTATTTGTGCTTAATTACCCAATATGATGCCATTTGGAGTTGTTTTGTTTTATTTTGTTTTGTTTTTTTTTTTTTTGGGTAATTTCAACTTCGAGCAAATTTGTAATGAGATTATTCGGAATTTCTGGCTAGACGAATGGTTAAGCGAATAAATGCAGTTGATATCGAGAAAAGTTGTGAACATAACAATAATCACCGTCAACGTGTTGGCAAGAAGCAACGGAGGAAGCAGTAGAGGAAAGACCCATGTGATTGTGCAGGTGTATAATGTGTACGAAGAAGGTTGAGAGATTGCTTCAATGGTATGTGTGTTGGTTGTGTTTGGGAAGTAGGGGTTCTATTTATGCTTAATTATCTAATATGATGCGGTATGGAGTTGTTATGTTTTGTTTTGTTTTGTTTTTTCTTTTTTTTTTTATGTTTTTGGGTAATTTCAACTTCTAGCAAATTTTTAATATAAATATTTGGTGGCATTTTAGTATATTTTATCCATCCTTTAACAAGAATTTTTACTTGGACAATTTTAAAATTACGAGTTTTTGAAATTAGAGATATTTTTTTTTTTTTTTTTTTTTTTTTACACTTTTCACCCATTATTCTACCCACCGACACAGCTGTTTTCATTTCGCTTTCATCCCAAAAAACCTGAAAACCAGTCCAAACCTAAAACCCAGAACCCTATAAATGTCTTCTTCGCTCGCTATTAGCCACGTCCGCCACCTCTCAACAACTGCGGCCGCTGCAACTGACGCCGCCACTGCAACTGACGCCGCCGCAATCTCCATCTCCAAGGCCATAGCAAAACTCAAAACCGAATTCGACCCAGACAAAGCCCTCGAGATCTATTCCTCTGTCTCCCGCCACTACACCTCTCCTCTCTCCACTCGCTTCATTCAGGAATTCACCGTTAAGCGCCTTGCGAAGTCTCACCGATTCTCCGACATCGAAACCCTAATCGAGTCCCACAAAAATGACCCCAAAATCACCCAAGAACCCTACCTCTCCACCCTCATTCGATCGTACGGCATTGCGGGCATGTTCGATCACTCCCTCAAAACATACAACCAAATGGAGGAACTGGGCACACCCAGAACTACGACCTCATTCAATGCTCTTCTTGCGGCGTGTAACCAATCGAAGCTATTCGATCAAGTACCCCAACTGTTCGAGGAAATGCCTCAAAAGTTCGGATTTTCACCTGATAAAGTCTCTTATGGTATATTGGTCAAGTCTTACTGCCATTCGGGTTCGACTGATTTGGCAATTTCGAGAATGAAAGAAATGGAAGAGAAAGGAATCGAAATTACAGCAATCACGTTCACAACAATATTGCATTCTCTGTATAAGGAGGGGAAGAGTGATGAGGCTGAGAGAATTTGGAATGAGATGATGGAAAAAGGGTGTTCGCCTGATATCGCGGCATACAATGTTCGGATAATGCATGTCCACGGTGGAGAGCCGGAGACTGTGAAGGGTTTGATTGAGGGTATAAGCAATGCAGGGTTAAAACCAGACACCATTACTTACAATTATTTGATGACTTGTTATTATAAGCATGGGAAGTTGGAAGAAGCTGAGAAGGTTTACCAAGGAATGAAGGGAAATGGGTGTCATCCGAATGTTTCGACCTTTAGGATTTTGATATATTATTTGTGCAAGAATGGGAATCATGAGAAGGGGTATGAGGTGTTTAAGGACAGTGTGAAGTTTCATAAGGTTCCCGATTTCAATACGTTGAAGCCTTTAGTGCAAGGGTTGGTGAAGAAATCTAAAAGGAAGGAGGCCGAAGATTTGATTCGGACTATGAAGAAGAAGTTCCCCTCTAACCTTTTGAATGCTTGGAAGAGACTCGTGGAGGATCTCGGTTTGGCAGCTGCTGATTCTTCTGGTGAAAACCAAGAGGAAGGAGGCAAAAGGGTTGGTGATTTGGTGGAAGGGTCGGTGAAGAAACCGAAAAGGAAGAAGGCCGAAGGGTTGATTCAGAGTACGAAGGGGTTCCCTTCTAACCTTGTGGATGCTTGGAAGTGACAGTAGGAGGATCTTGGTTTGGCAGCTGCTGATTCTTCTGGTGAAAACCAGTCCTTTTGCAACTAGAGTGATTCACTTTGCCTGAATTTTGAGTTTGAGGGATGATGTGATACCGTGAAATTCATTCCAGAGCTTCCATTGAAGGGTACTTAATGCTTTGAAAGAGGGACAAGACAACAGCTTTGATTTGTTTTCATGTTAGTGTTAGTATTTGACTTGTTGCATGTAAATTTTGGTTTCCCTTTGTGCTTCTTTATCCTTCTTTCTTAGCTATCCTTTCTGAGTCAAGATTTGTCATGCCACTGCTATTGTCGATATGAATGTTAACAATATCATCCGATAGATATAATCTGGCCCAAAAAGTAACTCTTGTTCTATATTTTCTATAATATGTCTTCTACTTTTTGCGTGATTTGTTGGAAAACATCTTTCAGTTTTCACTACTCTTGTTAATTGCGTGTGCTTAATGCCATCACAATGTTTATAGCACAGAATGGGCTCAAATGGGTGGCACTGGAAAGACTTGGTAGCAACAATGTTCCTATGCAGGGCAGGACATGAGCCAATTTAGTTTTCTTGTGAGCTCCTACTAATTTAAAGTTTGCATTTTTGGAGATTGTTTGGCTACAATGATTAGGGATGGCAATGGGGCGAATTTGGGATGGATTTGGCTAAATACTACATTGTTCAGTTGGAAAATCATCAATACCAAATCCGCCCTTACTCTAGAATTGGTCTTTAATTTGTATACCATCCCATCTTCTTGAGGCTGACGGAGTTCCTACTCATCCCAGCTTCCTCCATTTAATTTATTATATTAATGGAGGTGAGTTGCCAATTAATTGAAATTTGTAGCATAAAATAAAAATCTATGCCATCCTCATTGAGATGTAAAAATATTAAATAATAACCAAATAAACAACTCTAACATTAAAATGAAAAAAATATATATGGCTTTGAACCCGAGACCATACTTCATTTAGGCCTTACTAAATCTTATGGGGAGACTAAATTTGTACCATATTGCCCCTGATAAAAGTAGTATATATTGGTATAGTGTTACCAATCTATTTGCAATAGGTCTACTGCATTGGTAAGGTGAATGAATTATATAATTAGATGATTGGGATAAAACATTATGAAGTGTCAATTTTCCCACTTTTGTTTTTTTTTTTTGCGAAAAATATAATGATTGCAAAATTTTATTTTATTTTTTTCAAAAACGCTCAATCCACAATTATCTCAAATAATACTACTCACTCCATTTTTTATAAGAAACTTTTAGTTTTCTTTATTAAAAAAAAAAGTGTAATAATGCCAATATGGAATCTTGTTTTTTTTAAATTGAAATGTTTTTCAAATAAATGTTTTATTTTCCCTACAATGTTTTAAAACGAATTGTTAGAAATAATTATCAGAAATATATTGCTTCAAGGGCATGTTTTAATAACTAGAAGAAAGAAGAAAGGAAAATAAATAATATTAGTTCTTAGTTATGGGACAAAAAGAAAATCAAAGAAAAGGAATGATAATTTTAACATTTATTCTTGTTTAGTTTTTTTTTTTTTTTTTTCTTCGTATATATATATATTTTATTATATAATTTTAATAAAATATATAGAGATACTTTTGCAACCTAAACAGGAGGAAGATCATTTCCGTCCCTGCCCCGACTTGGAAGTGCAGCTGCTTCCTCTCTATCTACTAAGACGTGAAGTAGAGAGAGACAGGAGAGAGAAAGAGAGGAAGGCGATGACGACTCGAATAGCTCCGGGCGTCGGAGCGAACCTGCTTGGACAACACTCGGCGGAGAGGAATCAAGACGCCACCGCCTACGTCGGCAATCTCGATCCTCAGGTTTTTCTTCCTTCTTCTTATTCGCTCTCTAACTTCTTTCACAAATCAGAGCTTCTCTCTCAAATGTAATTCTAGGGTTTTTTTGCTTGTCTCTGATTCTCAAACTGATGGATTGAGTGGCTTTAGTCGTTGCCAACTTCATGTTTCGTATTTTATGGTTTTCATTACTCATATAAAATGCTTCAAATTATTGCACTATGGGAATGTTATTATTATTTCTAGGCCGAGAATGAACCAACTTGTATGTGTGGTTCCGCTTTATACGTTTGTAAGTTCAATTTAGAATTAAATCAAGATCATGACGAGGTCAAAAAGTTAAATTAGAGTTTGACTAATTATTTTAAAAAATTCAAACTCAACTTGTCTCGACTCATTTGACAAAAAAAGTCAAACTCGATTTTATTATCGTGTTTGAAATAACCTTAACTCATCATATAAGTAAAAATCTATATTCACGCATATCAGTTTACTAAATTTAGTGTTTATAAGTTGAGTTTAACCGTGTTAAAAAATAATAATAATAATAAAAAAATAAATCAATTTGTTTACTATAAGAACTTAAGTAAAATTAAATTATGTGGGGGCACGTCCCCTTCAATTTGTTTACTAATTGTGTGGGACGGGTCAAATTAAATTCACTAAAATGACTCACACATTGAAGGGGAGGCGACAATCCTTCCACATCCACAATCCCACACAAGCACAGCCGATGCTTGCGAACACATCGCCGCACCACCACTGCCACCACCACTATCACCACCATATATATATCTTTTTTGTCTAAATAGATACACAGAGAGGAGGGTGAGAAACAGAGATCGATTTGGATGTATGAGTTTTGCCATAATTTTATATAGGGGTATTTTTGTTATTTAAGTTCATATATATATATTTTTTTGGTATTAAATTATATTAAAAAAATTAAGATAAATGGATCAATTAGTACGTGTCAAAGTCTAAAAACAAAATATTAAGATTTAACTTATTTTGAGGCAATGTAATTTGCCGAGTCAAATCAGAACGGATAAATTGATTAATTGCAGTCTTATATAAATTGATTAATTGCAGTCTTATCTGACTCGAGACTAAATAGGCTAGAGAAAAAGTAAAACCCTAGTGCATTTATAACCCTAATACATTTTCTACAGGTGAAGTGCAAAAAAAACTCATGTGATTTTTAAAGTATGCAAATAACACTTATGATGTTTAAAAACTATCCTGTAATTTTCAAAATTAAAAATTGTGCAAATAACTCGCAAAATTGATATTTGCAAGTCACCTGACAAAAAATGGGTCTTTAATACCAACAATGCCTTTTTGGAGTACCCAAACTACCATTTTCTCCCTCATTTCTATATATATAATAATTTTATTTAATTAATTTTCTTTCTACAAATACTCTATATATAATACACATAGTTTTTTATATATAATACTTATTATATTCATATTTCTCTCTCCTATTTCTATTATATTCCCCATTTCTATATATAATATTCATATTTCCATATTTTATTTATTTTTCTATCTCTCCTTTGTATTTGTATTTTTTATTTATTTTCTTCACTCTCGATATCATATAATTTTTCTTTTTCATATTTTTATTCTTTATTTATTCTCTATCTTTAAAGGTTCTTTCTCTCTCTATATAACAGTTACGGAACAAAAAAGCACGATGTACACCTCTGTCGCGGCCCGTGTTCGTGAGGTTGAGGTAGTGCATGAACCCTATTAGTGTTTAATTATCCAGAATGATGTGTTTAGAATATATATATATATATATATATTTTTTTTTGGGTAGTTTCAACTTCTACCAAATTCTTAATATTAATGTATATATTTGGTGGCATTTTAGTATATTTATCTATCCTTTAATAAGAATCTTTATTTGCACAATTTTAAAATTACACATTTTTTAAACCAACTTTTGATCAGGTTTTTTTTTTTTTTTTTAGTGCACTTTCACCCATTATTCTACACACCGACACAGCTGTTTTCATTTCATTTTCATCCCCAAAAACCTGAAAACCAGTCCAAACTAAAACCCAAAACCCTATAAATGTCTTCTTCGCTTGCTACTCGCCACGTCCGCCACCTCTCAACAATTGCGGCCGCTGCCACTGCCGTCGCTGCTACAATTGACGCTACCGCACTCACCATCTCCAAGGCCAAAGGAAAACTCAAAAGCGAAAAGGACCAAGACAAAGCCCTCGAGATCTATTCCTTTGTCTCCGGCCATTACAACCCTCCTATCTCTGCCCTCTTCACTCAGGATTTCATCAAGCGCCTTGCGAAGTCTCACCGATTCTCCAACATCGAAACCCTAATTGAGTCCCACAAAAATCCAAAATCACCCAAGAACCCTACCACTCCAACCTCATTCGATCGTGCGGCTTTGCCGGCATGTTCGATCACTCCCTCAAAACATACAACCAAATGGAGGAACTGGGCACACCCAGAACTGCGATCTCATTCAATGCTCTTTTTGTGGCGTGTAACCAATCGAAGTTGTTATGAAAATAAGGATTGAGTAGGAGTTTATGAGAACAAGAGAAAAAATAAATAACAAGAAAAAATAAAATAGTGCATACACAAACGAGACAATGATTTAAGTAGTTCGGCTGTGCCTACGTCCACGGGGAAAAGAAAGATCAATATTTCATTATAGAAATAAAGAGATATAAGGCTAAGTGGCTCACACCCAAAACCCAATTACACCCAAGACTCTCACACACTTTGCTTTGCTTTTATAAGTAAATTCACACTTAATTTTAGGATGCTTTAGATGCATGAGATACATGGGTATTTATAGCCAAAGGATACCAATTTATGCTTGCTGAGCAAGCTTATATCTTGCTGATCACACATGGGCCGGGCTGCTTGGAGACCACGCACAGCTTCTTGATCAATCTACTTGGCTGCGAAGCATTTTTGATGAAATGGGTGATGAAAGTTGATGACGTAATGGGTGAGCTATTGCATGGTGAGTTGGTAGTATTTGAGCCACAGCTTTCAACAAATCTCCACCTTGGCGAAAATTCAAATGAGCCACTGTATCTCTGCAAAACGAACTGTCTTCTTCATAAAGCCCCTAAAGGCAATTTCAACATTTGAGAATATCAACCAAGTCCAAGGAATGTTTGAACTTGAGAGTATTGCTTGGACTTGAGAGCCAGAATAGACTTTGTTATCATATCTGCCAGATTTTCAGCTGTGCTAATTTTTTTCAATGTAGTAATTCCTTCTGATATGATATCCCAAATAAAATGATATCTGACATCAATGTTTTTGGTTCTCTCATGATACATTTGATTTTTGATCAAATATATTGCACTTTGACTGTCACATTAAATAACAGTTGAGCTCTATTGCAAACCCAAAACACTAACCAAACTTCTCAACCAAATGGCTTCCTTCACTACTTCAGTGGCTGCCATATATTCTGCTTCTGTAGTAGAGAGAGCAACTATAGATTACAAAGTTGCTTTCCAACTAACTGCACAACCTAAGAGAGTAAAGACGTATCCTGTCAGAGATTTTCTTCTGTCTAGATCA